GCCAATCAATGTATCTCCAGGAGTCAACTCAATTTAAAAGATTTTTATAGGCAACATGGACAACTTTATAAGAGTGATGATGTCACTGGAATTGCTTGTATCACTGAATCATCTAAACCTTTTCGGCAGTAAGTGTATGACATTCAACTAATCTTTTTGGTATAACTTTTTGTGTAATCTTCACTGGTTCCTGTAATGCAGAAAGTTGCATGGAATACTTTACAATTTCTCCCCCATGAGGCAGGAAATGTAGTGCCTTTTTCATTCATTTCCCCTTTCTCTCTCTGATTTGCATAAAAATTGGGGCTTAGTTATTGACTCATTGTTTGTTAAACGAAGTATAGAGAGAACTAGGAATAGTTAATATCATACACTAGAACAGTATCATTCTCTTAAAAAAACACACAGCACCTATCCTTTCACATTACGCATCATGGCAGTATCATATTCTCCTATTATGAATAATCTCACAAAGGTAGTGAAGGACTCCTCCTGTGTGAAACACACCTCAGTCCCAAGTTAGGTAAATAATGTTATATCAGAATGAAACCATTATAGGGCTTTCCTGGAATTGAGCTTGGACATAAATTGATTTTTCCTCTTGAAAACAAAAGATTGAAAGAGATTCATGGATCACAGTAACAGGAAAAACGAACAAACCGAACATTAGGTTTAAAATTCTGAAATATATTGTAAAAAACGAACAACATTGCTGAGAAGAAAAACATGTAGCTAACCTTGCAGGGAGATCATGGGAATCTCAGGAGGGTTGGGAGACTGAATTAGTGGAGTTGGAGAGTCAACCCTGGCTGTGAACTCAACAAAGCACTAGCTAGCAAGTGCCTATTGATGGAACAAAGTTTAGTTGTCAGACTTCTGATACTTATATTATTGGTTTGGAAAGATTGTATCCCTGCTGGGTTCAAGACGGTTTAGATCCTTTACACTGCATAGCCAAATATGGCTTACAAAACTGAGTTAGAACACACATCCTCTGATGAACACCACAGGCACATAGAATCCAACCACTTCGTAACAACATTAGGTCAAAAGATTACTATCTTCATGGGGAGAAATGTGTTCATTGTTCTGTTTGTTCTGCAGTAAAGAGCTGGTTTTGAGAAAATCAGAAGCACTGAATAAATGTAGAAATAGCTGGCTACAAGATATAAGAAAAGGTGCAGATATTGCAGCTTCTATGTGTCTTCCTGTTTATCAGGACCTGTTAGATTTCTGTCTCAGACTAAGACTATGCATAGAAGGTTTTCTAAATTCTAAAACGACTTTAAAGGAGATTGCTTCACTTTAAACTGAATTAAACAATATGCCTTTTACCCCATGACTTCCCCCAGAAGAGTTAGAATGTAAAATGTACCCTCTTAGGTAAAATATGGCTAAAAGTCAGTTATTTCAAATTAAATATTTCATTTGACTGCACCATTGAAAGATTGTTCACCATTCATTTCAATTCACCATGCTCTGTTTTATGCTTTTTGTTTTAAAAAAAGATTGGTAGTACTTTCAGATTCTTGAGTAAAAACTGGAAATATTCTATTGTATCTTAATGCTTTTTATACAATGCACAATACAATACATGTTTCCATAAGAAACTCAATCCAAACCCACTATCTAGCCATAAAATATGATTTTGCCTAAATTGCAACATGCAAACAGCAATAGCTGATGGGAAACTTTTATCCTGCTACTAATCATGCTAATTGTTATTATATTTGACTCAAGGACCTAACATATGATAGAGGATTGGGGTAACATCGGAAAGTGCTGCTTCTCATTACTTCTAGAAAGGGAGAATGCTCTCATTGTGAAAACATGCCCTTTGATGTACAGGTTGTCCTCAACTTATGATGGCAATTGGGACAAAATTTCTGTCACTAAGTGATGTGGTCATAAAGCGCAACCGCATCACTTTGTGACAGCAATCCCTGCCATCCTGGTTGCTGATGTTAACTGAATCCCACAGTTATTAGGCAAGGTAACTTCCTGCCAGCTTCCCACAGCCAAAGTCAGTGGAGAAGCTGCCATGAACTTGCAAGTCCCAGACCAGCAGACAGGTAAGTGACTGCTGCCAGGTGGGAAAGGGAGCGAGGGGGTGCTCAGGGTGCACAAGAGGATTGGGGAGGGTGCTGAAGGGTGTGCAAGAGTGCCAGAGAGTCAGGAATGGTGTGTGAGAGGATGCGAGGGAGGGTCGGGGAGGATCCACAAGTGGGTCAGGGAGGGTACGTGAGGGTGTATGAGAGGGTCAGGGAGGGTGTGCAACGGTGTGTGAGGGTGCAGCATAGGTCAGCAAGAGTGCATGGGGGTGTGATGCAGGGGTGTGGTATGGGTCAGAGAGGATGCATGAGAGTGCACATGAGGGTCAGGGAGGGTGTGCAAGGGTGAGAGGGAGAGTCAGCAAGGCAGCACGAGGATGAATAGGGGTGCAGCATGGGGGCTTGGGTGCAGCGTGGGTTGGGGAGGGTGTAAGTGTGAACTGGTTGCCAAGCTCCCAGATCATGATCACATGACTACAGGGGTGCTGGGATGGCCAGAACTCCAAGGATTAGTTGTAACCACCATTCGTTCAGCACTATTGTAATTTTGAATAGTCACTGAACAAATGGTCATAGGTCAAGGACTACCTGTATTTCACTATAACGATCATTTCAAAAATTAGGAGAATTGTATACCTTCACTTTTGACAAGAAGCATGGGGCATAGGAGAGCTTTGGCTCAGAGGGAGCCAAAAGAAAATATGTTGAAGATTATCTTGCAATATTCCTCTGCCTTCTATGAGTATAGGAGGCAAAGGCTCTGTACCTGCTTAATAGTTAAACATGTGATGAAAGAGAAATTGCCAGTAAATGATATATCACGCTATATGACTGTGAGCCTGGATACTTGCCCTTTAGATCCACGCCCCTCCTGGCTAACTAAACCTGCCAGGGGTTGTTGTGTGGGTGGGTTCTAGTGGTAGTGAATTCTTCTTTGAGTGAGGGGGTTGTTCTTTCACCCCTTAAGGAGGCGCTGATCCACTTCCTCCTGAAGAAACCATTGCTGGATCCCAGTATACTGGACAACTTTCATCCAGTATCTAACCTTTTTCAGGGAAGGTGATTGAGAAGGTGGTTATGCAGCAGCTTCAGAGGACTCTGGATGAAGCAGATTATCTGGGCCCCTTTCAGTCAGGATTCAGGCCTGGGTATGGGATAGAAATGGCATCAATTGTGCTTTTGGATGATCTCTGGTGGGAGTGGGATGGAGGTTGTGCATCCATCCTTGCCCTACTTGATTTCTTGGTGGCCTTCAATACTGTTGACCATAGTATCCTTCTGGATCAGCTCTGGGGATTGGGGGTGGGTAGCACTGTATTGTGCTGGTTCTCCTCCTTTCTCCAGGGTCAATTCCAGTCAGTGGTGGTTGGAAGGGAGAGATCCTGCCCTTGGCCCCGACTCTGTGAGGTTCCAGTGGTTTTGGTGCTCTCCCCACCTCTATTCAACATCTACATGAAGCCGCTGGGTGAGATCATCCATCATCATGGGGTGAGGTATCACCAATACACTGATGATACCCAAATATATATCTCTATCCTTGGTGAATTAAAAGATGCCATGGATGTCTTATCCCAGTGCTTGGAAGCTATGAGGGTCTGGATGGGGAACAACAGGCTTCAGCTGACTGAGTGGCTCTGGGTTGGTTGCACTGCCCCAAAAAGATCCAGTGCACAACCTGGGGGTTCTCCTAGACTCATGAGTCCTGCTCAAAAAGCAGGTAGCAATCCTGGCTAGGAGGGCTTTTGCACAGCTTTGTGTTGTATGCCAGTTGTGCTTGTTCCTGGACCACTCATGCCCTGGTCACCTCCTGAGTGGAGTAATGTAATGTGCTGTACATGCAGCTGCCCTTTAAGAGTATCCAGAAGCTTCAGCTGGTGTAAAATGCAGCAGCATGGGCAGTTATGTGTGTCCTTAGAATGGCACATGTTATACCTCTGCTCCACAAGCGGCACTGATTGACAGTCCAATTCAAGGTGCTGGTTTTGATCTTAAAAACCCGAGGTGAGATTGGCCCCATGCTTGATACCCTTCCAGAAGTTGGTTAAAACATGGCTGTGTCAGCAGGCTGGGGATCTCAAGGAAATGGTGATTTAATGAGATGGCTACATTGTTTAACATCAATTTTCTTGACTATCTGGTTATTAATAATATTGTTGATGTCTTTTAATTGTACTTGTTTTGATATTTTGATTTTATGATTATTTTTTATTGTGCACTGCCTAGAGTCATTTTCTGTGAGATGGGTGGTTATATAAATAGGATGAATGAATGAATGAATGAATGAATGAATGAATGAATGAATGAAT